CATCAATGCCTCCAGATTTCGTCATCGTTTGCTGTCGGCCAATTTTTAATTTTTAATGAGTGATTATATTTAGATTTAAGTGTTTCATTGAGACTATCAAGTCAGATGGACTATAATAATAATAATAATAATAATAATAATAATAATTAGGCTCGGAAGCTATCTTGACGTCCGAGCCGAGCCGTGTGAGACCAATTTATTTTACGGTATGAGGTCCTGAGAATTATCACAATTCAGTCAGGATAATAAAAACCAATTACCTGAACGGAGGCAGTCCAACATCATAGAAACGCAACAAGGGGGAGGGAATGACACTAAATAGCACTGCACTTTAAGATACCGGTCTATTCCACACGAACGCCTGTTTGTTTCTCTCCCTAATCTTCCAAATCTAAGATGGCCATCATCATCCAATTTGCGCATCCATTGTTATTTGAAAGCTAAGATTGTCCTCCCTTCAGTAACGTTCTTGTAACGTGGGTAGATTATCTTTTCGTGGTACGATACGGGATGTAAGATCTACCACAGATTCCTAGTCTTGACTACTTCAAACTAAGGGAACATGATTTTTCAGCAATCAAAGGAACACACCTTAGTCCTTGTTACTTTACATGCCTGGAATCGAGGATGATCTTGAAACAAGGAAAAAATGAATTAGTTAGTCTTTACCTATGTGATTCCTAATCTTCTATTCGTTGTTCCCTAGTTTGAAGTGGTTAAGACTAGGGTTCTAATGCATGGTCATTATCGGTGTCATTGCTTGTTTTTGTTGCTAAGAAATCCAATTTTGACTGACAAAGAGGCGTGTTTCAACACTTCGCAGGGTATAAATAGCGGGACCTTTCAATTAGAATCGATTCCTTGCGATGAAGGCAAGAATGACAACTGTATCAACACCGAATACTTCATCATTTCTCAATAGTGATGGAGTAATACGACATGCACTAAACTAAAGACATGGGATATACTACAATATATAAAATTACTGGTCGCAGTGGTTTTATGTCCCGAGCAGGTGAAAAAAAAAGTTCTTGTTCTTTGCAGCGGCACAAGCCCTCTCGCTCTTGTGTGTTTCTACTGTTTAAGGTTTAACAAAACGTGAATTTTCCCAACCAACAATAACTCATACAGACGAAAATCCACGGATTGTAACCAACTGGTTACAAATTCGTGATCCCTAAGTACTACAAATGCAAAAGATGCAAAGTCCAAGCCAAGACCTGGTTCTTCAGTAGAAGATTTTGGATTGTCAGGATGGTATAAATAAGCAGAAAACTAATAAAGAGCCTTAGAGTGTGTTGATTTATTTCCTTTTATTTCCGTTATAATTGCTTATCTTTTTACAGATACGCGTATTTCGACTACTACTTGCAGACTCCATCAGTGCCAAGCACTCAACATTGATTACACTTTGTGTATTATAAAGGGTGATACGGTCAAAATTTGGTCAAGGGAAAACGCGTGTAAATCGGTGAAATCGTTTATTTAAAAAATCAAATTAAATTTCTTTTTCAAGTTCAATTAGTATAAAATTCAGGAAAAATATTCAGTTAGGCTTCCGCTTTTCCAAATCCGAATTGCCGGGCCTTACGCTTGACCCCTGCCATCAGATTTTGTACAGCCACCTTGTCCACCTTCTTCGCCGCAGAAAGCCAGTTTGCCTTGAACTGCTGCTCGCCCTTAGCAGTTTTTTTGGTCTTCTTTAGGTTGCGCTTGACAATAGCCCAGTATTTCTCAATTGGGCGGAGCTCTGGCGTGTTGGGAGGATTCTTGTCCTTGGGAACCACCTGCACGTTGTTGGCGGCGTACCACTCCATGGCCTTTTTACCGTAATGGCAAAATGCCAAATCCGGCCAAAACAGTACGGAACAACCGTGTTTCTTCAGGAAAGGCAGCAGACGTTTATTCAAACACTCTTTCACGTAAATTTCTTGGTTGACAGTCCCGGAAGCTATGAAAATGCTGCTTTTCAAGCCACAGGTACAGATGGCTTGCCAAACCAGATATTTCTTTGCGAACTTTGACAGTTTCATGTGCTTGAAAACATCTGCTACCTTTCCCCTTCCTTTTGCCGTATAAAACTCCTGTCCCGGAAGCTGCTTGTAGTCGGCTTTGACGTAGGTTTCGTCGTCCATTACCACGCAGTCAAACTTCGTCAGCATCGTCGTGTACAGCCTCCGGGATCGCGCTTTGGCCGTCGTATTTTGTTTATCATCGCGATTTGGAGTCACTACCTTCTTGTAAGTCGATAGTCCGGCTTGTTTTTTGGCTCGATGCACGGTTGTAGACGATACACCCAGCTTATTTGCGGCATCTCGGAGAGAGAGGTTAGGGTTTCGCTTGAAACTACCGGCAACTCTCTTTGTCGTCTCAGCGGCTTCCGGTTTTCGATTTCCCCCCGATCCAGACTTCCTGGCTGTCGACAAACGTTCCCCAAACACTTTAATTACATTTGTAACGGTTGATTTGGCAACTTTTAGCGATTTTGCCAACTTTGCGTGCGAGTAGCTCGGATTTTCGCGATGCGCGAGCAAAATTTTGATACGCTGCTCTTCTTGCTTGGACGGCATTTTGACAACTGAAGAGTGAATTCCAAAATCAAAATAGGAGCAACATTCTACACACACACACACCTTCAAAATGAGGGGTGTTCAGGTTTTTTAAATGCAAAATTGAAAGAAATACGTCAAGTTGATATTGACCAAATTTTGACCGTATCACCCTTTATGAAAATTTGTCTGACGTATCAGTGCTGTTATCAAATAAAATAATATGCTGAAATCCATACATTTTAAACCATAATTTCGGTTCATATCTATCTCAAAATTCACCAGTTCACTCTACTTTAGAAAATGATAGCTGAGCTTGTTGAAAATTGGCTCAGCTACAACTTTGTTCAAGACCCCCTTTCGATCAAATATAAGAAACAAAAATTATTAATGATTCAAGTCACTGATCATGCTCAATCAACTGTTCAGCAGGCAACATTGGTGTTTATGGCGCGTAGAATAGAAGACAGCAATCATGGCTACTATGTCACACTGCAGAATACAGTGTTTCCCACAATACAGTTGCTTCTTGTCATAAGATTATGAATCTCTTAAACAATTAATAACTATTTAATTTGACGTTTTGCTGAAAAACGATTTTCTGCAAAATTGTAGCTGATAAAAATTCCTTAATATAATAGTTAACAGTACACTATGTAAAATGGCTAGAAGACAATGAACAAAGAATTTTGTTTTCCCATAGTAACTTCAAATGTTTTGTGCCGAGTCAGTTTCTTATCAAATGAGTTTAAACTTTCTGAGGCTAATTAGGACCCGATTTGAAACCGTTTGAACACTGCCGAGCGAAAATTTTAAATTTTGCATCAGTCTATTGACCACAGAGGCGCTTTCATGGTTAAACATTCGGTTCGCCAGCTAAGCGAAAGAGTGGATCATATTGTTAATATAATAGATTTTCCCAAAGGATTGTAAACTTTTTTTTAAGGCACGTGGAAAACTGTGTTTTTCGGACTGTTAATGCCAGACATGCCTTCTGATTTCAGTATGTATAATTAATGTCGACCCTTCCAGCAGGTAATCACTGCTATGCGGATGAATAAATTTACTATTTATGTTTATAGAATTCAAAAGAAAAATTATCACCCAGTGGGGAGACTTGATCCATTCGAAGTGGGGATACTCAAACTATAACCATATCGCCGGGCCTCTCGTAAAAAGCTCAGTTTAGGCCTTGACAATTATTTATTCAGATTATTTATTTTTCACGCGAAAAATACCCAAATATTAAAATATTTATTTGAATACTAGATATCCCATCATTTGATTTAATAAGAGTTCAAGTCTCCCCATGGTGGAGATACTTGGTCCGCTTTTTCAAATTGCAGGAAATCGGTTTAAACTTCACTAAAATAACTTTATTCAATTGCTATGCACATTGCAGTGTGTCTTAGTAAGGACTCTTTGATGTGGTTGGTGAATACTTTGAATACACATTACTGGCTGAGATATAGAAAAAAAAAACAAAAGGGAAGAATAAGTATCCTCACCTTCCCCCACTAGATGCTAAAATGCGTTAAGTCAAATCTCTGTGAATCAATCTTACCCTAGATATGCCTAGAAATTCTCTTTTCACTTTAATGACCTTCTCACAAATCAAGCCAAACAATCCATGTATTAGGTCCTAAATAACATTGATCGATTCTCGTCATCAACTTACTGTTTCGTTTCTCTACAATTCTCGTCGTCTTTAACGTATTAGTTGCTAGATAATAGTTTCTTTTTACGAACTATGTCTTGACAATAACTGAAAATGTCTTTCAATGGCCGGATGCAAAAACAAATCTGTCAATGTTACTTATAACCTAATCCATTGTTCGGCTTGAATTATCTCGCAAATAATATAAAACCTAACGATTGGCATCGATGAATGTTCTATTGTATATTTTGCTTTTATAGTTCTACCATTTCCATAAGTACCTCATGAGACGACAACCTCTAAACACCATATTGACGTTATATTTCTAACGCGAAGATGTTCTCCTTTTCTTCCAACCATACAAAAAACGCCAACTGATTCCTGGCGCCCAAATCCTGATTCGTCTCATCCATAATTCATTAGCTTATCCACCCTAGCACCGCTACCACCCTCACGCTCTCACGGTCAAGAGTGTAAGTCGTCGATTGCTAAATCGATTTGTTTTGAGAGACTACAGAAGACAAGAAGCGGGAAAAACACTTTCCCGCCCATTCGTTCCTATCTTTTCCCACGGCTCATATTAGCACATTTCCCCGAGACTTATACACTGCTGTAAAGTGCGATATGCTAATAATATCCGATCCGCTGAATGGCGAATGATAAAAGACAACATTGAAGAAAATACTGCTTCAAGTACATCTCGCTCATCGAGAAAGCCATCGAAAGTGATCTGGTCTGAATTGGTTTCTTCTTTATGTGTACCTTTTCTTTTCTGCTTCTTTCCAACCCAACAGCGGACGCTCTCAAGTGCTATCGCTGTAATAGCTTCGACAATCCTGACTGCCTCGGCGAGCCCGACCCGAGCGGGGTGAAGAATTTGACCAAGCTAGAGCAATTCCTACGCGAATGCTATCCGGACGAGACGGGCCGGGAGCCGTTCTGTCGGAAAATTTCCGTCACCAGTAAGAGCCGGTCGGCTGAGGTGGAGAAATCAATTGAGTGTCTAATTTCCATATTTTTCGCATTTCGCAGTTCTGAACAACAAACACCACCGGGTAATACGGGAGTGTGGCTACGAGAGATCGAAAACCGACTGCTATGTGGCGGACAATGAGGACCATCTGGAGACGGTTTGCCAGTGCTGGAAGGACCAATGCAACCGGGCGGAACGGTTGGAGTTGGGAGCGGGACTGATGACGGCGGTGGCAGTCGCAATGCTGAGAATGTTGATCTGATTGAGAGTCTTACATTGATATCATCATTAATGTAGTGTATCTGTAAGTGTACTTACTCTTTTTTTTTAATAAATGTAAAATAATATGATATTTACTGTGAAAATTATTGTGATTCATTATATTTGTTATGATTTATTGAAACCATTCGTCATAATGCTTAACTCCATTTTAAATTAAAACCTCAACCTACTATAATCCTTCGGACTTTCGTTTCGGAAACCCGAATTGCGCATTTTCCACAGGTAGCGGAAAATTGCGTTCAACATTTTCCAACTTACCATATTTTTACCTTCCGATATGATAAATCTTGCCTCCTTAGGTAATCCTTGAAACACCAATCGTAGTAAATCAGTAATAATGTAACCGCTACCACCTGCAGCCAACTATGATCCTAGCGAAGGGTGACCCCGTGTGATTATAGCTCATAAATTATTCATAAACTCCGTACAACCATTACATACAGCTCGCTTTGCTTCATATTTGGTCAAGCACGTGAACGGGCAGTTTCGAGCACTGTATAAATAAATATGCTTATAAAATCGACAGGATACCCATTACAATCGGGCGGTGGGGATACGTGATAATCGCCGCCAATGGGTAGCTGCTGCCCTTCAATTATCCGCCGCAGATTGCGGAGTAACCTTTGACCGGACACCTTCTCCGCGGACAACCTGCTCCATCCATCCATGGTTTAGGTATTCATTGACGGTGCTTGCTAACATGATTTTACTCCATTTTTGTTTTTGGTTCTGGTAATTCGATAATTACAAGCTAGGTCGTTGGGTTTCACCTTCAAACGATTGTTGCGTTTATGGAATTTTATTTGCCTGGTACTGTTCTGCCCATAAAAGCATATCAGTCCATTCTGGAAAAACAGTAAGCCGAGAAAAACGCTGTGGAAAATTTACAATCGATTATAACGGATAACTCATTTCTGGCAAAAATCCGTATGCTTTATGCTTATGTGGGCAGTGTTGTAGAACACGTCCATGCGAATACGAATCTGCTTATTTGAATTCATTATCATGGAGACGCATGGCAAAACGGATGGATTAAAAGTTTTTGCTTCTTATGGAAAATTTAGAAGATTGTAAATCAAATTATCAAATCAAATCAAAATTGACAAACTAAATCTGGAGGATACTTGCGGAAACAGTCACACCCAGTGTCCGGGGGAGCCCTGAAACAACTTTCCGTGCAAATCAGAAGACACTTTGGAAAGTTGGATGAAAATTCTAGGAGAAGTCGGATGACTTTTTCAAAGGCAGCTACAGGGGTTGTGAGAAATATAGGGTACTAGCAAAATTTTGTCCAAATTTGGACTGTTGTAACTTCGTTGAATATTGTTCGATTTTTAATCTTCAAGAACCATTCATCTGGAAAACTAATCAAATTTTATGGTGAGCCAATGGAAGTGACCATGGCTACCGGATACCGGATATATTCCGGGTTTCCTGAGGGCATGTCTAAATTGCTAAATTTGTGATGAGTTTTTCTCAGAGTGTCCGTTACTAATCTGTGTTTTTTGTTCATACATCAAAAATAGAACCATTTTCAAAGCAAATGACGCTCCAAGAGCTAAAATCGACTCAGAATCAACCGAGATATGGCCATTTCCCTGGAATCGGTCCTGAGGGAGGGTTCTGAGTGCGGTCAGTTCTTTCATTCACTCAAAACATGTCATGTGACACCTCTTTCTTCATGGATTTTTTTACCAATAAGCTTCCTATAGACTTTAAATGGAGCATTGACCACATTGGCCACTTCCGGAACCACCGGAGTGCCCCCGGGGGAACCTGTAGCAGGGGACAATTTCATTTTTATACAAAAACATGCCTTCTTTCTTCATGATTTTTCATCAGTAGGCTTTCTATAGACTTTAAATGGATCATTGACTACATTGGCCACTTCCGGAACCACCGGAGTGCCCTCAGAGGAACCTGTAGTAGGGGAAAATTTCATTTTTACACCAAAACATGCCATGCGACACCTCTTTCTTCATGGTTTTGCATCAGTAGGCTTTCTATAGGCTTTGAATGGATCACAACAACAGGAAAACAGGTTATCAGCTGATTTTCGAAATACTAATACAGATGCAAGTCAACATCAAGGCTATGCTATGATTATCTTGGTCGCAATGTTCATTGTCTACATTTTTCATAACGAATCGCAAAGAATGAATATGCATCTTTGTCTTCTTCTCTTTTTCAATTTGATCTTACTACTCACACGCTGCATAGTCACATGAACGAAGACAAAAGCAAAATTTGAATATTAAGTAAAGATTAACTAAAATGCACCCCTGGAGTAAAATGCGTTGTTTTTCGTTGCTTTCCCATTTGAGTGAGAAGCGTGTTCCCACCATCGACGTCTGTAAAAAAGTTGGAAAAACTTTTGATTGACGAGTGGTTCTAAATACCTATTGAAACAATTCATAAACGGTACGATTCAATTCCCAGACGAGTCCAAGGCTAGTCCTTGCTTCCGAAAAAATCTTTCTCAATGTTATTATTGAATTTTCATCGGTGTATACGAAACTTTTCATATCTGTTTCATATCGTCACATCTTACATGTTGACGAAAAGTAATGAAAAAAGAGCTGTCGTACGGCATGTATTGGTGTAAAAATATAATTGTCCTCTGCTATAGGTTCTCCGGGGCATCTCCCGGTGGTGCGGAGAGCAGCCAATCTAGTCAATGATCCAATTCAAATCTTTAAAAAATCTTTTGATGAAAAACCGTGAAGAAAGAGCTGCCATACGGAATGTTTTGGTGTAAAAATGCAATTGTCCCTGCTACAGGTTTCCGTGGGGCCTCTTGGTAGTTTAGTGAGCGGGAAATGTGATCAATGATCCAATTAAAGTTTATAGAAATCCTACTGATGAAAAACCATGAGAAAGAGCTATCGTATGCCACAGTTTGGCATAAACATGCAATTGTCACCTACTTCAGGTTTCCCGAAGGACATTTTGGTGGTTCCGAGGCGGCCAATGTAATTAATGATCCAATTCAACTTTATAGAAAGCCTACTGATGCAAACCCATGAAGAAAGAGGTGTCGTACGGCATGTTTTTGTGTAATAATGGAATTGTCCCCTACTACAGGCTCCCTCGGGGGTACTCCGGTGTTACCGGAAGTGGCCAATGTGGTCAATGATCAATTCAAAGTCTATAGAAAACCTACTGTAGCAAAACCATGAAGAAAAAGCGGGCGCACGGCATGTTTAGGTGTAAAAATGCAATTTTTCCCTACTACAGGTTCCCCCGGGGGTACTTCGGTGGTTCCGGAAGTGGCCAATGTGGTCAATGATTCATTTAAAGTCTATAGAAAGCCTACTGATGAAAAACCATGAAGAAAGAGGTGTCACATGGCATGTTTTGGTGTAAAAATGAATTTGTCCCCTACTACAGGTTTTCCCGGGGGCACTCCGGTGGCTCCGGAAGTGGCCAATGTGGTCAATGATCCATTTAAAGTCCATAGAAAGCCTACGGATGAAAAACCACGAAGAAAGAGGTGTTGTACTGCATGTTTTGGTGTAATAATGCAATTGTTCCCTACTTCAGGTTCCCCGGGGGTACTTCGGTGGTTCCGGAAGTGGCCAATGTAGTCAATAATCCATTTAAAGTCTTATGAAATCCTACTGATGAAAAACCTTGAAGAAAGAGGTGTCGCATGGCATGTTTTGGTGTAAAAATGAATTTGTCCCCTACTACAGGTTCCCCCGGGGGCACTACGGTGGCTCCGGAAGTGGCCAATGTGGTCAATGCTCCATTTAAAGTCTATAGAAAGCCTATTGGTAAAATACCATGAAGAAAGAGGTGTCAGATGGCATGTTTTGAGTGAATGAAAGAACTGAGCGCACTCAGAACCCTCCCTCAGGACCGATTCCAGGGAAATGGCCATATCTTGGTTGATTTTAGCTCTTGGTGCGTCATTTGCTTTGGAAATGGTTCTATTTTTGGCGTATGAACAAAAAACACAGATTAGTAATGAACACCCTGAGAAAAATTCATCACAAATTTAGCAATTTAGACATGCCCTCAGGAAACCCGGAATATCTCCGGTATCCGGTAACCATGGTCACTTCCATTGCCCCACCATAAAATTTGATTAGTTGTCTAGTCGAATGCTTCTTGAAGATTGAAAATCGAACAATATTCAACGAAGTTACAACAGTCGAAAGTGGGACAAAATTTTGCTAGTACCCTATATTTCTCACAACCCCTGTAGTAGGATTTCTGGGGATAGTCGGTGAAAACTTGCGTGGAATGATGAAAGAAATTTCCTTGAGAAGTTAGAAGAAACTTTCGGAGGAAATAGGGATAACACTCCGGGAAAATATGGAATATAGAAGAAACCAGAAGTAGCTTTCCGAAGAAGCCGGTGAAAACTTCTAGGGAAAGTAGGCTAAAACTAGTTAAAGCTTCAGATCAAATTCGCGGCAAATAGGGGCTACAAAATGGTGAGTTGACAACCTGAAAGGAGCGTGGTACCTAACCCCGTTCCTTACAAGTCCCTACCTCACGCCTGTACGAGTCATATGGTTACAAACGACTACCAGCTAAAACATGGACACAACTGGGTGGCGTGGACTGGGCAATGTTGTCAATCCGACAATAGCAAAGTGAGGACAGAAACTAACAGAGAAAAAATACGAACTGATTTCCGGCAAGGACTTTTAGCGCAAAACAAAGAATTAGATTTTGGAACTAGATGCACATGAGGATCCATTGCAGGTTCCAAGGTGTATTTATCCTAGGCAAAAGGTGAGCTCCAAATTCGATATTAACGTCGTCGTTGGCAGTACTATTCGTATATTTTAAATTAACCATCGACCGACCGTAGAAAATACATGAATTATAGCGTATCTTAATCGTTCGTTACATACCAAAAGAGAACTTTATTATAAAACAGCAAAAAAGGTTATCTTCCACTTAATTAATTTTGGTATCTATGACAGATACGTATTTTGACTACAATGTGCAGTCTTCATCAGTGTCATTCGCACTAAGAACTTATCAAAATCTAACCCCCTTAAGTA